AGGCAGATTGAGTCGACGCGACTGACGCGGCTGAGGCTTCAGATGCTGAAATGGTCGAAGCAACCGAGGCATCCGAAGCAACCGATGCAGCAGAAGCAGATTGAGTCGACGCGACTGACGCGGCTGAGGCTTCAGATGCTGAAATGGTCGAAGCAACCGAGGCATCCGAAGCAACCGATGCAGCAGAGGCAGATTGAGTCGACGCCACCGACGCGGCTGAGGCTTCAGATGCTGAAATGGTCGAAGCAACCGAGGCATCCGAAGCAACCGATGCAGCAGAGGCAGATTGAGTCGACGCGACTGACGCGGCTGAGGCTTCAGATGCTGAAATGGTCGAAGCAACCGAGGCATCCGAAGCAACCGATGCAGCAGAGGCAGATTGAGTCGACGCCACCGACGCGGCTGAGGCTTCAGATGCTGAAATGGTCGAAGCAACCGAGGCATCCGAAGCAAACGATGCAGCAGAGGCAGATTGAGTCGACGCCACCGACGCGGCTGAGGCTTCAGATGCTGAAATGGTCGAAGCAACCGAGGCATCCGAAGCAACCGATGCAGCAGAGGCAGATTGAGTGCCGACGCCACCGACGCGGCTGGAGGCTTCAGATGCTGAAATGGTCGAAGCAACCGAGGCATCCGAAGCAACCGATGCAGCAGAGGCAGATTGAGTCGACGCCACCGACCGCGGCTGAGGCTTCAGATGCTGGAAATGGTCGAAGCAACCGAGGCATCCGAAGCAACCGATGCAGCAGAGGCAGATTGAGTCGACGCGACTGACGCGGCTGAGGCTTCAGATGCTGAAATGGTCGAAGCAACCGAGGCATCCGAAGCAACCGATGCAGCAGAGGCAGATTGAGTCGACGCGACTGACGCGGCTGAGGCTTCAGATGCTGAAATGGTCGAAGCAACCGAGGCATCCGAAGCAACCGATGCAGCAGAGGCAGATTGAGTCGACGCCACCGACGCGGCTGAGGCTTCAGATGCTGAAATGGTCGAAGCAACCGAGGCATCCGAAGCAACCGATGCAGCAGAGGCAGATTGAGTCGACGCCACCGACGCGGCTGAGGCTTCAGATGCTGAAATGGTCGAAGCAACCGAGGCATCCGAAGCAACCGATGCAGCAGAGGCAGATTGAGTCGACGCGACTGACGCGGCTGAGGCTTCAGATGCTGAAATGGTCGAAGCAACCGAGGCATCCGAAGCAACCGATGCAGCAGAGGCAGATTGAGTCGACGCCACCGACGCGGCTGAGGCTTCAGATGCTGAAATGGTCGAAGCAACCGAGGCATCCGAAGCAACCGATGCAGCAGAGGCAGATTGAGTCGACGCCACCGACGCGGCTGAGGCTTCAGATGCTGAAATGGTCGAAGCAACCGAGGCATCCGAAGCAACCGATGCAGCAGAGGCAGATTGAGTCGACGCCACTGACGCGGCTGAGGCTTCAGATGCTGAAATGGTTGAAGCAGCCGAGGCCGCCGATGCAACGGACGCAGTCGAGGCAGCTCTGGTGGCCGCGACTGAAGGGTCCAGTGCTGCGATGGTGACAGATTCCACACCTCCAGCAGAGTAGTTCCGACCAGCTAAGATCGACGGGGAACTGTAGTTCAGAGGTGAGCTGCTGTAGTTCACGGCAGGGGCCCAGTTGACCGCCGAACCTGGCGTGGCAAGGTTCGACAGCCTGGCACTGAACGTCACGTTCATGATGGACTTGGTCGACGAACCGACCGCCTCGTACAGGGGCAACTCGGACAACATGACTGAGAATGTTGAGTTGTCGGCAGCTCGCGAAACTGTCGCCGGAACCGATACTGACGCTGGAGTGGTCACGATGATGGAATCGGGGTCGAGCGTGAGACTAGCTCCAGCTGGCACAAGGTTCGCAAGTTCAAGGAGGAAGGCCGAGGTGGTGGATGTGCTCGTGTGCGCAACAAGCGCGGTGAAGGTAAGGTCATCACTCGCGTGCACAGTCGCTGGGCTAATTATTGCCGTCACTTGCAAGTTCGGCTCCGCCACGGTATGAGTCAGCGGGGTCGAGCTTACGGTGACTAATGACGAGCTATCGGGGCCAAAGATCACTCTGCCCTGCGACGCGATCGTGCTACCCGCAACATTGCCCACGGTAGCCGCAGATGGAACGCTGGCCTGCACTTGCACAATAATCTCGCGATCCTCCAATGGCTGGAATGCCAAGGTGCTCAGCGCGCCAAAGTCAAACACGGCAGTATCGTTGAACGTGTTGCCGTCGGTATCTTGCATGACACCGTCGGCTCCAACCGCCAGCGTTGACACGGAAATGGCACTTCCGATCGCCACAACCTTGGCCGAATAGATGGCAAACACGCCCGGTGCGCTCACTGAAGGCATTCCAGCAGCGATGGCCAGCTTGACACTGCCGATCGAGCCGCTCGGCACACTTGCAGTCAGGTTGAACGTGACCTGATCTCCAACCGCCACGATGGGGCTCGCAGCGTTGGCAACAAACCCAGACGCGCCAGAGGCAGAGGTGATGAGCGGAGACGAGGCGTTAAAGGCTATAAGCATTGGCGTTTCCGACGTCACGACCGCATCGCTGGCCACGCAGGTTTCGAGATAATTCTCTGCGCTCGGGAGAGTAGCAGATAGGTACTGGCAAACGGACAGCCCCGCGCTGCTGGTAGTGCCGGAGACGGCTGTGGGCGAAATGGCAAGGTCGTACGTGATGACGGCAATGTTGCTACCTAGCAGGCCATTGTCATATGCTGGCAAGCCGGGAAGGTTGTCGAGCAACACGGAGGTAGTTCCGCCAAAGAGCGTTGACCCGTCGGCCGAAGGCGCTGTCAAAAACTGGAGAGCCGAGCCACGACCATCCGAGATGCACAGCGAATTTGGTAGATAAGTAAACGTACCACTCGTTGTAGCGATATTGCCCTGCAACGAAACGTTGTAGGCACGTCCGCTGCCCGAGTTGACCACAAACATGACCACGGTGATGACATCGCCACCGCCAACACCACCAAGAATGCTCAACTGGTCAAGCGCAGTCACCATGGCGTCAGTGACGTACGTGTCTCCTCCCGAAAAGCTGAAGCGATTGCAAGGCAAGGCCGCCGTGTTGGATTGGCCCGGTTGGGCAAACGTAATTCCACTGGAAGCCAGCGCGGTGGGATTTGAGTAAATCGCCGCCGCCCCCGACGATGCAGCAACCACAGCAGAGTAGATGGTTGAAATTTCGGGTTGTTTTGCTTGAATGGCGGAGCTTTCTAACAGAGAAGTAGCTGAGATAGCGCCGTCTTGGTATTGCGCAAGTTGGGTCAGTTCCATCAAGTCGAAAACTGGCACCGGAAGCACAGTCAAGGTCAGAAGAATGCTTGACTTGAGTGGGCGATTTTGGACATCTGAAAAGCTGCCAAAGCCAATTGTGATTGTGTTCCAGCTCGCGTCCGTGATGTTTGGAACAGCTCCAGTGACGGGATACAGCGTTTCGTCCGCGGCGAATTTGAACATGTTGACTGGAGGTGTGTCTGCAGAGATCACTGGCGAGAATGACGCCGGGACGGGGTCGACACCGATCCCGATAAAAACCGGATTGCTTAGATAAAGGATGACCGAGGAAGCCCAGAAGTCGGCAGACGGGAAGGAAACGGAAATCAACAGCGTCACATTGGCACCAGCGCTCACAAGCTGTTCGGGAGCCAAAGGAAGTGAGGTGGCATCGCATCCATTGGTGGCCACGCAGATGCGCGAGCCATTGACCGCATAGATACTCGTGAATAGTTGGGCCCTTGCAATTGCTGCGCTGGTACTGCTCAACTCAATCACCGTACCAGTGGATGCCGTCAACGGAGCGGATGCATCCTTGACCGCTGAAGAGGCCGACAGATCCACAAAGAGCGGATCGCCCATCGTAATCGCTTGCGTGGGTGTAAACCGGTCCGTGTACAAGTCTTGCACTCGGCAGGGAAGGCTGAAAAGACCGTCAGTCACAGGTCCGACTAGAATGCCCTGGGCGGAAGTCGGCGCCGGAACCAGCGTGGAAGCAGAAAGGCCAAGCGCACTGACCGCCCACGTCAGATTGAGACTCAAGACTGTGGCACCATCAGTCGCTGGCAGGGCGTCGTTGCCAACTCGGCTAGTGTCGATCGTGTAGTGCACGCCAAATGAAATGGTGCTTGAGCTGCTTCCACCAAGTGACACAGTGGCAGTGGTGGAAGTGTTGGCAAGGACGCCGTCTGGGATGGTCAGGGTGGAGAACAGGCTGCCGAGCGAAAAGTAGTCTGAAATCTGGAAGGATTGGGCAATAGTGCACGCACCCTTAGGCAACAGAATACCTGGCGAGATGGACACGGCCGACCAATACGACTTGGTGGTGAATGTCACAGAGATGGTTTGCGTGGTTGTTTCCGAAGCAAGGACGGGATTTCCCCCCACGATTGTGACAGCATCGTACGTCAACGCGACTGTCGCATTCACCTGGAAGCTGCGTGCTTGGCCCGTGGTCGCGCTGATGACTGGACTGCCGAAAGCATCCAACTGTGGAACGAAAAACTGGTATTGCGCGACATAATCATACGATGAAGATGTGGCAACCAACGTCGACGTATATGTAGCTTGGAGAAAGGCGTTCTCTAAAGCGGAGGTTGTGCTGGAAGGCTCCTGCACAATGACTGGGTTGGCGTCTGCTGGCGACAACGCGGTAACCGCAATGTATTGCGTTAAAGTAGACATTGGGAAGGTCACGTCTGCCTCGGTGATGGTGAGGCCTGGCGCACCATCGATGATCAAAGTCACCTCGATGGGAAAGGACGGGCCAGATGGCGCATCTTCTCGTGAGGTTTGCAGGCTGAGGGCAAACCGAGTAAAGGTAACCGAGAGGGTGGTCGGCCAGGTTACTGCAGCCGTGCTCGAGGACGAAAGAATGCTCGGATCAGTACTGAAGTCGGAGGGATCTGGCGTGGCTCCATTCGCAAAACTGGCGCGCGAGTACACTGTCAATGTCTGGCCAGTGTGCAGCTCGGGTGATCCCA